AATCTCGATATACATTTGTCAAACATACACACACGCACACACACAGTGATCAGATTTTTTTCTGTCCGCCATCAGGTTTTCACCAGCCTGGAAGAGATAGTGATGCACCATAAGAAGAACCAGCTCTATTTGATTGACAGCAAGAGCCAGGCCAGGCACGCAGTCTATTTGTCTCACGCCGCACGCTGTTAACATCACATTTTACAGAATCAGATATGATCTTTATACTGAAAATGTTATCACACGTTACTGGACTACATGAAATTACATTACGCTGCATTAGGTACCCTTGCAGAGCTGCATATAAGGGGACATATTATGGAAAATTGACTTGCGGGACAAGTGATGAAGAAGTCTGCCACACAGTTTTGGAATCCATGTTTCGATTCTCGGCTCCAGCCTCCCTTTAGTGATGCATGAAAATATTCTTATTTAGCCAGGTCATTGGATTCTCGGGGCATTGAATCAATGGCATCTGGATTGTTCTGATTGTTTTAGAACCAGGCCATTTTACCACATTCTGTCAACTGAAGATGACATCACAGTTACTCATGGCTCAGGTACCACCCAATCATAGCTCAGCTTCAGAAAGCAGGTGAGCCAAGATTGGTCTAGTATTGCACCACTGAATTGTACACAAACAATAAGCCAATTTTCTACAATGTGTCCCCTTTCAAAAATAAGAAGTAATAAAAACACAATACAGACATAAATAAAGCACGTGTGTTACAATGAATTATGTCTTGACATGTCTTTTGAGTGTATTTCAAATCCTGTACCCAATTGCAGTAATTGCATAAAGCAATGATCTGACTTTCTAATCATTCCAATAATATACATTTTCTGCACTAAACACATCGTCTCCTGTTCCTCTCCTTTTTTTTTTTCATTTTTATCATGTGTAGGCTGAGTCCGGCTGGAAAAATAAGTAAGGTTAAATGACAAGTTTGACCTGATCCAAAGGCAGGCATACTTAGAAATAAACAGATTCAAGATAGAGAGTTTAGACAGCAAAGAGGTCAGGAAGGAAGACTGTAAACACACACACACACACACACACACACACACACACACACACTGATAAATCAGATGGAGTGGAAACATCATTAAATTATCCAGTCACATCCAGTAACGGCTAAGCAGCTGCTGCCATGTTATTTTCCTTTGCTTGTGTTTTAGAGGAGCAGAGCAACATAATGTCTCTTTAAATGAAACGCTTGTGAGTTGTGAGGTTGCTGCAGTGGCTGGTATAGCCTAATAATGAACACTGAATGGCTTCCTGGAGACGCTGCAATTTGGCAGCTGGGTGTGAGGCATTCTGCTGTGATGACGTGCTGTGTATTCCCCAGACCGGAGCTCAAGAACATCCTGTGATCATCATTGATAAGAACGGTACGGAATAATAAGGATGGATGTTTAACGACATTTCCTTGGTGGACCAGGACTCCAAATCAATTATTTTATTTTTATTATTACGATTTATGACTTGTTTTTAATTCTCAAAATAATTTTAATGAGATAGTAAAAGTTCTCTCAATGTTCTCAATTCCTGTTTTGAAGCCATTTTTCAGATTATTGTTACCCAGAGGAGTCATTATAGCCAGATCTAAAAACATCAGGAAAAACACTTCAGAGGTAAATGAAAAATAAAATATTTAAATTGATGGTGAAGTGCTGACTCAATGAGTGAAAATACAAATGATGCTTTTACTTCTCTATGGGGACTACCGGTCTGCTTACAAACAAGTATCCACTCGGCTAATCGCAACACTCACTGCCATCATAATAGTAAAAGTCGTACTGTGCATTGTACAGGAAGACAGAGTGATCAGTGGCTCATTTGCATAGGACAGAACCACTCCTCTCAAAACTAGGTGGTCGTAAGAGGATGTTGTGTACTGTCACCAGTACACCGCCTTTACCTCCACACAAAGACTGCAGTTAAACAAGTGTAAAATATGAAACATGCATGCAAAGTACAAATGTGAATCTGAACCATATCAGATGACTTGCTTCCATCTCTTAAAAAGATGACAGTACACTTAAACGTAACTTCCAGTAGTGGATCTTGAAACTTAAATAGTCAGGGCTACTCTTTGACTGGATCTGCATTGTTCACATCCTGTGAATCTGAGTCACTTCAGTGCACTAATTGTACCTCAAGTATTGTGACTTTCAAATGGAGTGGTATTTACAATTTAAAGGCAAGTAAACCCCTTAACCCTTGTAGGAAAAACAAGTTCACTCAAAATGAACACTTTTTGCAATGTATACAGTTTGAACAAAAAAATGGAAGCGTGGTAAATGAAAATACCCTCTTACTAATTGATGTGTCAAATGTGAATGGACGGACGGACAGACAGACAGTCAGATAGATGGTGACATAAACTCACACTAATTTTGATGTTACTTTATATGTATGAAGTTTTACCTTAAATAATCTGGTCACTACATTGCGGTTTTGTCTACCGCAGCAGGGATGGTCTGAAATGTAAACCCCTTGACAAATGACGGACGACTGTAAAATAATAATTATTATTATTAGGCATGTATGGTATGTCACCGTTTATTTATGTACCATAAACATTTGTTTTGAAAATGAAATTGAAAACCACACATTCGGTGGGGTACTCTCTGTCATGGCCCAGAATTTAATACACTCTAAAAATGTTGAATGACTAAACAACGCGTGTTCGTGAATCTGTTTGTGTGTTTGATTCAATGTTGGGGCTGACGAATTGAAAGTTGGAAGGTTGGGTTGAGGAGTAGACGACGGAGGAGGTCTACGGCGGAAGGATACAGCGGTACACGCACTACACCCCTAATCTTGCGTTGACAGCCGTGAGAAAAAATACTCTAGGTGTTCACTCCTCTCACGTCTTACATTGTCTCGACGTGGATTTTCATTTTTGGACTTCCCAGCACGCGCGTGTTTCTTCCGGGGGCACACCATGGTGCGGTTCCATGCGAATCTTGAGCGTTAACGTGGACTAATTTTCTTGGCGGAGGTGCGGCCGGTTTCATGACTGACTCTGGGGGGCTCTGAATGGGAGCAGCAGACGCTGCGTGAGAGTGAGATTCGACCGTCTCCCCCACTCTCTTCGTCTCCTATATATTCCACTTTTTAGGGGACGTTGTGAGCAGACACTTCAAAAGAGCACCTCCAAAACCTTTCTGGCTACCCCCCTTTCCCCCTTTCCTTTCTGCGAGGAGCCTTTTGGCGGAGAAACGTCTCGAAATGGCACAGATACTGCCTATACGATTCCAGGAACATCTGCAGGTAAGGCAAAAACGCTCCATAAAAACGAATCCCCTCCTCGCCTCCTCTTTGGGGCATTTCCTCGCCCTTGTGTCGGTACACATGCGGCACATGTCGCATTTAATTGGGAATGTGAAAACAGAGCTGCGGGCTGTTGCTCAATATAGCCACAGGCCTGGATTAGCCAAAGGATGACTTGGGAGAAATTGAACACTGTGCACTGTGCGGGTCGTCATTTTTTTACCTGCTGATACGTAAAAAAAAAAAAAAAAAAAAAAAAGTAACTGTCATGTAAACTGCAAGCGTCTACGCCAGTGCAGTCACTTGCGGTGTTTTGACACTTGCATTGCAGTGGAACCAGCTCAGCTGTTCTCCTAACTGAGACTGATGGTTCTAAATGGGCTTCCATATTGTCATGCCCTACAGCAGCATCCTTACTCGCTCTGGAACTTCAAAGCATTACTCTGTTTGAATCGCATTGTCATAAATTGTTAATTTTCTATAAAGTATAGGAGACAAATGATTCTCATAAAAAGTGTTGTATATAAGTTACATAACTGTACCAGAATATATTTTTGAAGCAAATGTTTAAAAAAAACGCACAGCTCCTAAAGATTAAAGGCAAACTGAACTATTATTAGGCAGTGATTCTTTCCACTCGTACCACCTTGTACGAGTATAGTACCCTCTTTGAGAATCACTTGGCTCATAGGATAGCGACTGAAATACAAAGTGAATGTGTAACTGCCTCTCAGTAGTGAAGTTCAGGATGAGAATCTTGCCCGTACGTGTAGTTTGCTTATTTCCTCCCACAATCCCAAAACATACTTCTCAGAGTAATTGACGACTCCAAATTAGGCGTGTCTAAACATTTTCTTTAGAGGGCCACATTCAGAAAAATCAAAGGATCCAAGGGCCACTTTGAATGCTTTGTTTTAAATGAGTGAATCAAGCAGTTGCAGATTGTTTAAATATTAGTGTTTAAAAAAAAACAATTCTACATGAACAGCTTTCTACAAGGCAAATGCTGCAGGGTTTTGCAAGATTTTGGTGTGTTCAGAGAACCTTTCTACATGAACAGCTTTCTACAAGGCAAATGGTGTAGGGTTTTGCAAGATTTTGGTGTGTTCAGAGAACCTGCAAACTAACAGAAAATATCTGCCCCTGCACTGTGCCATTTCTTCATTCAGAACCCAAACAGGAGCAATCTGTTT